ATTGTTAATATATTTTCTTTATTTATTTATTTTTATTTTTTTTAATTTTTATTCACTCCCACAAACATCACCCAACACATGCTTCAGAGAAATAAATATGAAAGCACACAGCATGCAATTAGACCGCATTAATTTGGCAAACAGAGAGCGCTGCATATAAATGGGAATATGAATGCAGTTATAGTTCATAATTTGAATTAAATATTTTGCAACATATTTTGTTATTGCGCTGTGCCAACAACGAGGCCCCAGAGCGCTGGGAACACAGCTGCGAGCGAGACTAACAGCAATTATGTTAGAGCAGGGGGCGGAGGAGCTGAAACTAGATGGTCAGCGGAAAAAAATCCTCATGTGTGTGTGTGTGTGTGGCAGCAAACATGCCGCAACTGTCATAATGCCACATGAGTGTTAACATAAAAATTAAAAACTTTTTGGCGCGCACAACTTTTTATTTACTGCATGGCAAATGAACTAAGCGACAAAGCAGCTGCCGCAGGAGCACGAACAGCAGCAGGAGCAGCAGCTGCAGCAAACTTTTGCAGCGCACTGTAAACGAATGGCGGATAGCTGGCGGACAGTGTTTATTGTGTGGGTAAATTAAAGCGGATTACTTAATGCGAGCTGCATTTTTGATGCACCTCTGTGTAATGCTCATGTTTGATTTACCTAAATGACTTTTAATTATTCAGCAGTCAAATGTGGGCCACACACACACACACACGCAGAGGCGTTGAGTGGATTATTGGGCTGCAAATCTGGCTGGGCATAAGCCCACTTTAAGTCTATAAAAACAGCACTTGAAAACTAATTAAACACTAATAGCAAACAACAAAAAGCTGCGCAAAGGCAGTTCAAGTGGCGGAAATGCCAGCGAGTCGGACAGCAGCAGCAGCAGCAGCAGCAGCCTGCAATTAAATCAAACAAAACAAAAGTACAAAAGTAAAAAAAAAAAATGAAGGAAAATAGAAAGAAAAGCTGCGCAAAACTTTTTAATTTCGCTCCAAGCCAAGCCAACAAGGGCTGAGAGCTGAGGAAACACAGGCTGCTGGGCGCGAATGAGTCTATAAGTTGGAGTCGATTGCGAGGCAGCCGGGCAGCGTCTTGCCGGGGAAATAAAACAATGATGGCCAAACAAAAGCAATACGAGCTAAGCACGAGTATCGGGTGCCAAATGGCCAAATGGCCAAATGGCCAAATGGCGAAAGGATAACAGACGGCGGAAGTGAAACGAAATGGCAAATCAATGGATGGCTGCGACAGCAGACGTGGGACGACCCCCAACCCCTGCAACGCCGCGCCCAACAACAATAGCAAATCCGCTTAAAGTCAAAATTATTCCTTAACCAAAAAAAAAAAAAAAAGGAAAACTCTGAAGAAAAGAAAGCCAAACGGAACGAACCCTTGTGCATATGTACAAAACTGGCTAAGCGGCTGTTGTGTTGGCCAAAAGTTCTGGCCGAAACGCGGCGGCTGTTTAAGCCCTAAGCTGTTGACTTATTTACCAGGCTTCGATTTGCTTTCGCTTTGGCCGCCCATTGTTGTGCCCCGATTTGTTGCCACGGCTTAGCTGCTCAACAATTTTCGCTTAGCCAGATTGCGTGAAACAGATAAGCGCAGCGCCGCACTTCGCAGTAGATAAATTAACAGAACGAAAAACACTCACTTAAACCTGAAGCAACAATATCTATGTACGTGTGTGTATGTATAAAATAGAAGGACAGGGCTGGGCTTACCTTTGTGATGCCGCAGGTGATGGCCAACAGCTGCTGCTGCGCCCGTGCAACACGGCGGCTCGTAATATAAATTCCAAGTGTTCTCATAATCCGCCCGAGCGTAATCCACATAAATTATTTGGGCGGCAAGCGCGAGCAGCCAACCGCCGAGCAGGCTCTGCCGCAAGCTGGCCATCTTGCTGGTCCTCGCTTTCGATGGCTATAAACTAAAGCGACGGCACTCCTCAGACACGCGCGCACACACACACACAGAGAGAGATCAGAGGCAACAGCTGGTATTCTCGCTCAACGACAACAACAACAACAAAAACGATGCGAGCACACGATGTGGAGCATTGAGCCAGGGAGCACCGACTGATCTCGACTAGATTCGAATTGTTTGAATGTATTCACATGTTCGCCGCGATGAGCGCGAATTCCGAATCGGATCACAAATGCGAGCGTGTTCCGCGTGCGTATGTGTGTGGACGTATGTATGTGTATGTGTTTGTGTGTATGGGTGAAGGACGAACGCACGGCACGAGCTGCGAATACGAACTGAGTGGCCAAAGCACGAGGAACTGTGTTAAATAAACACACACCACGACGACAGCGACGACAGCGACGACGGCGACGATGACGATGAGTCGACACGAACTGATGCACGACTCGGTCTCAGCTCAGTTCGGCTATGCTAGACACCTGTAAAGAGAGAGAGAAAGAGAGAGAGAGAGCGTGAGTGATTGCGCATGCGCGTGTCGTAAAATATCCCTGTATATTTCCCAGTTTTGTTTATGTTTACGAGCCGTGCGCCAAGTGTATTGAACTCATTTAGAGCAGCGCTCGGCTTGCAACGTGCAACGTGCAACGTGCAATGGGCAATGGGCAACGTGCAATGTGCAACGCTATGCGCTCTACAACAATAACAACGCCAAATGCAATCCACACACATTTTCAAGGGTAACTGCAGACACATTGAAACTGAAGTGCGGCGGCTGCTGCTGCTGCTGACACCCCCGCAGCTGCAGAGAGACGGGGAGACGAGTCGAGGCGAGACGAGACTGTTGCCAGTTGAGCAGACAGGCCGGGAGTTTGGTGGACATGGCAGACAGGAACCGTTAGCAGCCCAGCCCAGCCCAGACGCTAACTTCCAGCCCAAACCGGAGCCAGACACAGTTGCACTTAAAGCATTTTCGTGCATTATTATTTATGCATATGCTTGTAATTGCAGTAGAAATACTTTCTGTGTGTGTGTGTGTGTGTGTGCCCAGACTCTAGCTAAATGCTTTTTTTTCACATTTTTTTTTTTCTCTGCTTTCTTTGCATTGCGGCTTTGCGTGCTGCCTTCTACAAATTTCAGCACATTTTCAATGCTGCATTTGTGTAGGCTGTAAAAAAAAAAAAAAAGAAAAAACAACAAAAAGGTTCTCTTAAGGCCAGACATAAGTCACTCAGACAGTCACGCAGACGGCCCAAGCTGCAGGGCAGACACTCAGAGACAATTAGACGCTAGCCAACAGAAGCTTTCTATCCCGCTCTATCACTCTATCTGTGTGTGTGTGTGTGTGTGTGTGTGTGTGTGTGTGTGTGTGCGTGGGTTTGAGCACTTGAAGTATAAGTTGGAAATAATTTTATTCTAAAAGTATGTGCAAAGAATTTTTAGTCGATAACTATAATTGTGGCTTAGTTAATATTTAATGAAGACAATCGAGAAATTAAAATACAAAAGTTCAAATAAAAATAAAAATTTTTCTAAAAACTTATAAGCCTAATTTTTTGTATAAATGGATTCAATAAAAAAATATTTCATATTATTATTTTTTTCTCGTTTTCATTTAAAAACTTAATATAATACAAACTTAATATTCATTAAATATTTCATATGAATTTTTATTCTGGTTTGCTTTTACAAATTTAAAATATTTAAAAGGTAAGCCAAATTATTTCTAGAAAATTTTTAAATAATTTTTATTTCTCTGCGAATACGATTAGAAAAAGATAATAAACAAAAATTATATTTAATCAAATTAAATGTGACATATTATTTTATTGAATGTTATTTAAATAATATTTTTAATTATAATTGTTCTTTATATCA